GAGGCTCAGAATATTTCAACTGACTGTGTAATCAGACGAATGGATCATTTATCCATTTCCCTCTTCCTCAGCCCTGCAAGTTCCTTGTGGACACGGTGTTTGCCAAGGGAATGACAGTGAGGCAGTCTAAAGAGGAGCTGCTCCCTCAGTTAAAAGAGCACTGTAAGCTCGACCTCAGCATTGACAGGTATGACTTTCTTTCTTGTAACTTTTGCAAAGAGAACATTTGTAAGTGTAGGTGTTCACCTTAGTGTGTGTGTGTGTGTGTGTGTGTGTGTGTGTGTGTGTGTTCAGGGTTCGTCTCAGGAAAAAGACATGGAAGAACCCAGGCACAGTGTTTCTGGACTATCATGTCTATGAAGAAGACATCAGCATCTCTTCGAACTGGGAGGTTTTCTTGGAAGTTCTTAATGGTAACACTCTTCATATGATTTCTGACACATATTAGAATAGTTGTGAGCTGTTTTCACATACAGTATGCACTTGAAAATTCCTAGAGGATTTCAGGTGGACTGTCCTTGCATTCCTCCTGAGTGGGCTGTTCACACATTTTCCTCACAGGGGGAGACTGTCCCTGGGTGAGATTTTTTGCCTTTATAATTATGCTACCTGTAATTAAACACAATCAAGATATTAACAAAAAACTGGAAAAGAGCATACTGTCAAACAGAAAACATAATGAAGCAGATACATTATGTGCACCGAGATCACACTGGGCGTGTGCATACAGTCTATGGACTTGCATTGGTCGCAGGATTTAAGCATCACTACCCCTCTTCTCGAGGAGTTTTACTGAATATTGTCTGCTGCCTTCTCACATTGCCTCACTCCAACTTGCAGTATGTTTTTTTTTTACTAGGTGGTTGGAAAGTGCTGTGAAAAATGTGTCTGTTTGCATTCATATATGCAGCTCACCCCAAAAACTTTTTTTAGGAGTTTTGTTAAGTGTATGTCTTTTGAATTCTTAGTTGAAGTTGTATCCCTTGCTATGCCTCTCTCCTGCTGCCAATTGTGTTGTAAACTCAAATAGGCCTATTATTCCATTGTTTTGTTTTCTATGTAATTCATTCTTTTCAGTGTTTTTTCAAAATATAGTCGTCTTGTTTCAAGGGACATGTCTATTTTTCCAGGTGAAGTATTTTAGATGTAATTAAAAAAACAGTCAGAACTTGAATTGTTGTCTGCCATGATTAATTTTTTTAGAACCAGAGAAGATGAAGTCCATGTCACAGCTGGCTGTTCTGACTCGGAGATGGAGCCCGTCTACAATGAAGCTGGGACCCTTCCAGGAAGTCATTCTGGAGAGCAGCAGTGTAGAAGAACTCAAGGACAAGGTATGTCTGTAACCCAATTTATTCAGCCATTCAAAACATACACAAATCTAATCATCTAAATTCAGGAAATATAAACCTCAAAGTAATATCAATACATAATGAACAGAACTATATAAAGTTATGTTAATACAATTGTGTAAGTAAAAATTACTTCTAATAAAAATAAAATGATTGGCTTGATTTGTGGAATAATGGTCTTAATACTGTTCACTTTGCCGAAAAAGGCCTTTTTTTGACTTATTTTCTTCATTCTGTTCACAGCTTTGTGAAATCAGCAATATTCCTCTCGAACAGCTGGAGTTTGCAAAGGTATGTGAGAAGCAGCACCTCACACAGATTAGCTTGTTCATCCCTTATGTCTCCCATTGTTCAAGTGGTCTGTCTTTGACTGTGAATCAGGTGTTCCTGCTCTTGTTTGTCTGATGCCAATCACATCCCTGTTGTGAAATCCATCTGCTCTGCTCTGAACAGGGTAGAGGAACATTTCCTTGTGATATTTCTGTGCTGGAGATCCATCAAGATTTGGACTGGAACCCTAAGGTGTCCACTCTGAACGTGTGGCCTCTGTACATCTGTGACGATGGAGCTGTGGTCTTCTACAGGTACGTTTAAACTATTATAGTCCAGTGGCATGACAGATGGACTGGACTTTGGTCCAAACATGTTGGTTATAATCGGTTATAATAGGTTTAGGAAACATTTTTTGGGATTATGAGAATTCATTAGTAAAGTTATTTTTCTGTAAATAATCTCCATTAACATGATTTCTGTGAAAGTTTGTGAAACATGTGAGTTACAAACTCAGTTCATCCGAAACATGACATGTCATTTTTAAACATGTAAAAATGTAAGCGTTAAAGCAAGTTAAAAAGGAAAATAAAGTAGAAAAAGTCAAGTCTCAAATTACAGTTGCATAAGCAGCTTCAGTGATTTTTTGTGTGTCATAGAAATGCACTAACAATTTTGAAATGCTGATTGTAATTCAAGTATGATGTTGTGTTAATGATAATGTGTTTTGAAACTGCGACTGTCTCTGTGCTGGGACAGATTATGAGACACCTATGCAGTACATGTAGCATTGGCCTTTCATTTTTTACCTATTTTTTGATATCTTAATGGTGGCATGCTTAACAGTATTAACAATATTAATTATTATCGATGTATTTTTGAAAATGATAGAAAGCGATGTTACCTCACTGAACTGCATCACAGCCTCTTAGGGGATTCCATCTGAATTATTTGTGACTTGAGATGAACACTCCTTTTGTTTGTCTGTGCAGGGACAGCACAGAGGAGCCTATGGAGCTCTCGGAAGACGAGCGTAATGAGCTGATGAAGAAGGAGAGCAGCCGTCTGCTCAAAACTGGACACCGTGTCAGCTACTCGCCCCGCAAGGAGAAGGCACTTAAGATCTACTTGGACGGAGGCCCTGCCAAGGACTCGGGGCAGGACTGAGGCAATAAGCCCTGGCCCCGGTCTTTGGGAATGGTGGCTACTGCAGCAAAACAAAATAGGCTTACATGACTCAGTCGGAGTATCAGGCCTGATAGATACTTGAACATCAAGCAGCGCTGTGAGGCTAACAGGCTCTCACCCTCCACTCAGAGCCACAGGAAGGGCTCAGAAATCCTATTGTGCACTATAGTGTATTGTACTGTAAAGTTTAAAGGGAATTACGAAAGCTATCCAATACAGAAAGAGAATCAAATACTGTATAGACTAATCAATTGAACGTAAAAGCTCCAGAGATGGATGCAGAGATGCAAGGACTGTGAACTGGACTGGAAGGCGTCCATCCTGGCTATTTAAGTCTCCTGTCTCCTTTTCCATCTGTGTATTTCACTTCGTCCTGTCACTTTGTGTTTCTCCTCCTGTTTCAGAAATACTGTCGATTCTGATTCATCCCTAACCATCTTATAAGTCTGTGGTGCTCAAACCTTTCTGAGCATAGAGTTAATAGAAAAAAAAAAAAAAATCTTCTGACGTTCGTTCACCTTCCTTTTAAATATTTGAAAACCAACAGCATATACAACTGAAAAAACGACTCATCCAGCCTCTTTTCAGTCTCGCCTCTTCTCTTGGGGCCAAACCTCACTCTCTCACTGACTTCGACAAGTCGAGATGTGAATTCCTCTCTCAAGATTTCTCGAATCAACAAAAGCAACAATAAATGTGTTAATTTGACATGGCTAATGCTCCTTTAATGCTGGAGATGTGTTGTTCTTTTTTCCCCTCAATGCTTTGTGCTTTTTAGGAGCTTTACCTCGGCTACATCCCTTCCACTAAATAAGGTGAGGCATAGACACTTGGTCCTTTAACACCAAGTACAATAAAACAAAACCAAGTAGACTATGTTACAGATCACCATGTTTTGTTTTTTTGTAAATCATTTTTTCCAGACTTAATCATTCAGTTAGGTCTCATAAACACCCGTTGTCTGTGTTAACCTTAAATTTAGAAAGTGGATTTCTATTTTTCTTCTTTCACCATGTGACCTGGTTTGTATATCTCTACCGTCACCCATGTATTGTGTGTGTGGTGGCGTACTGATGGGAGGGATCTCTCTGAGTTTTGGAGAGAGTGCGAGGTTTGTTTTTGGCGCTTCTACCTGCTGCTGCTCTATAGACTGGCTCCAGAGGGCAGGTGGGGGGGGAAAGTCTACTGGACTTCCTCAGTGTGCCCGTGCTGCTGGTCTGAGGAGGACTGACGCTCAGCATCCCGCCCTCACTGGGCTCCTGATGCTGCCACCAGCTGTTCACTGTAGAAATGCCAATATCTGAAGAAAATCTTTTTTTTTTTTTTTTTCCGTCATCGATGTCTATTTCTTTGAGATTTAAATCCTGTGTGAAAATAGTTTAAAATGATTTTAGAAATTAATTAAAATGCTTTTTTTTCATAACTGCAGTTTTTTTTTTTTCCATTGTAAAATGAAATGGCTTAATTCAACCCACAAGACATAATCACTTTTCAGAGGCTTGGTGTTTGAACACAACTTTAATTTTCTAAAAGCTAGAAATGTCCAAGCTGCATGTTGGAACTTACAAAGTTCTGCAGAACAGTGCTGTTATTTAATGTTATTTAACATCCAACTAAAGTACACTGCTATGATCACAAACACACCAGGGGTTGCTTGTGTTAGCTTTGCACTGCAACTGATTGCTGTACATAGAAAACCCAAAGCACTTACTGTGCAGCACAAGCAGCGTGATGTGTTGGGGAGAAATGGCATGCTTTAAAAGTTTATGACCACATAGTGTGCAACATGAGTTGGAATCTCGGTGTTGACAACAGAACCATTGATAACTAAATATCTGAAAACATTTCACCATAATGGCTTCAAGCTTGTGGATGGAGCTGGTTAGTTAAGTTATGAAAGAAAAGATTCAATCTGTTTGATTTTACAAGAACTATTAGTGTTATGTGATAATATAATATTTTTAGATTGAGTGACAGGATTGGTTCAGTTGTCAATCAGAATCTTCTTGGCCGTGCTTCATCCACACAGCTGATTATCACTCAAGTAGCCTAATCAGACCTCTTCTACCTTATTCAAACATGGCTATGATTAGCATTAGATGAGGGTTAAAGTAGCAATATACTGTAAAATACAGAAACAGGCATTTCATATTAATTTCCAATGCAGTATATCCTGTTTTTTTTCTTTTGTAAACTTTTATATTTACGTTGAGAATACAGAAGCATTAATTAGACATGCGTCCATGTATCTTATTCACTCTGTTTTCCCATTGTTATGAGTCATTTCCAATTGTTTTCTCGAGATCTTGAATTATTTATCTCGTATCCCTAGAGTTGCAAAAAGCACAGAACAAGCACAGATATAGGCTTAAGTTACCTCATTACTGTGGATGGAAGCATGTCTGTTTAGGGCTTCCATACCAGAGACCTTTTAGTTTGGTAAATCTTAGGTCTCAATTAAAGCATATCAAATAAATATATTTGCGTCCTTTATCATGCTGTATATGTTCTCCAATTTGGATTAGGCTAGCAAACACAAAGTGCTGAAGTCTTTGCAACAAAGCTCTGGAGTAAGGGAATACTCAGGTCTATTTGGAAACAAAGTCATTTTTAGAGAATGTAAGCTGTGTCAGATGATGTAGTCTATCTCTGAATACAGCGTGTCAGTCAGGTCCTCTTCACTCGAGTCCTCTCCTTTAAGGCACATGGACCCTCGCCTGTAAAAAAAACATGCATGGAAAATTTGAATATCATTTATTGAAATGGAATTATTCACTTGTCAAGTTTTGGATTTAAAATATACTGTGATATATTAAAGTAAACATACCCTAGGTGCTGGCAGTGGAGCTCTCCTGCACAGGGGCAGTGTTTCCTGGGCCCTTCATCCGGGACATCCCAGGACAACAGCGCCATCAGGTGGTTGGAGGCACCGAAGCAGCGCTCGCGCTCAATGGGTTTTGCAGAGCAGATGGGGAAGAGTAAGGCTGAAATCCCAATGAAAACACATTTTCCTTTGAGGAAGTGTAGAAAAACAGAGCAGTGTATACTGTGCTGTGAGCAGTGCTGTACCTTTGTGAAAAGCACAGCAGAGGTCTGGGTTGCAGTCGTCCTGGTGATTACAGGTGCTGCCAGCCTCTCCCTTGGTTGCATTTTGACTGCACTGACCCCACAGACACAGCTGCTCGCCGCAGCACTCTTGATCCTTAGTACAGGGCTTAAAGAAGAACAGGGGGGTGGGTGAATGAGATCAGTGGTTCAACTCTCCCTGATTGTAGTGACGCACGTTCCTATTTCTATCCATCCGTTAATTAAGTGGCACTGCCATATGGCAAAAAGTTTTCTGGTTATTTCCATCAAAATGTTTCAGTAATGCACATAAGGATTATTATCCTTTAACTTTGCATTGTTTTTTACTCTCACACACACCAACACTTAGTGAGTCTGAAATATAACCAAAGAGTCTCACCAGAGAAACTCTTTTTATTCATATTATTTTTGTTGCAGCCATCCTTTGCAGAGGAAAGAAGAAGAGCTCGACTTTGACATGTGCTGACCTTTTTACGTGAAGCTCACACACACTCCAATTACACTTGTGGACACACTGCAATGCAGTCAAAATGAAACCCCAGCTGCCTGCAAGTGAGTGTGTGCGTGCGTATGTGTTGTGTTTTGAAAGCAACAGAAGGGTCATTTACCACATCAATTGCTTTGCAAAGCAGACACTTGGAGTTCTTTATGTCAGAAGGGCAATACCTTCCCTTCCCACAGTCCTCATCAATGATGCATCCCTAAAGAAAAGAAAGAAGAATGACATCCAGACGTCAGGAACAAGAATGAGCTCCATAGAGAATGCGTTCTGTACTGTAGAGAGGATAGAGTGGGAAAGTGCCGCCAAGGTCAAAACTCAAAACAGAGCCGCCTGCTTGGGAGTACTTTGGCCTCCATGTTTGAGTCACTATATAAACACAGCTATCTGGCGCCTCATGGTAGGTTATATTAGTGTCAATATTTTACTGCTGTATACTTGAAATTTAACCCTGTAAGCCAAATAAAATAGTTCAAATCAATAAGTTGCTCAATGAATAAAGATTTGATACAACTTTCTTGAGAATAATTATAAATCTGTGTCGTGCTTCTATCGAAAGATTTAATCCTAAAAGTCCCTTACAAGCAGCAAAAGCATAAAGCATTACTTTCTTTACAGTCATCATTTTGATTAAAAAAAACTTTTAAGCAGACAACTCAACTACTTATCAGCATTTTGTTTGTGCTTAAATTGTACACATAGCAATTTGCAAGTAATAAATGTGAATACAGTTATTAATGCTCCCTGAAAATCATACAGCAACTGTTCATTCATCTGCAGACATTATGCCAAGTCAGCAGCTGGGATGCTGCTGCCAGACATTGTGCAATCGTGAAAATGTTGTGTTATGAAAAGGTCATAAAATATACAAGAGTTCAATTTGCATGTTTTTTTTTTTTTTGTGGAAGACTTTACATAATTAAAATTTTAGGTAAACAGATCAAACTTACATCATCAATATTGTTTCCCAGGTTGCTGGACTGCTCCGTTGTCGTAATGTTGTTTGTCTCCTCCTGTGTAAAGGTGGGACATGTTCAAAGTTTCTGATCAAAGTTGGAAACAAACACTGTTTTGTTTACTAGGTCTATTTATAAGCATACCTGGTTTACTGAGGTGTCGACAGATTCACTGTAAGTAACTTTATCAGAAGCAGTTTCATTGTGATGACTTGATGGAAGGTCATTGGGATGAGGGCCAACACTCTCGTTCTTCTGGAAAGATAATCACAGATACATTTCAGGTAAAAGCAGGCAGTAAATATCACTCACTACATTCTAGCTCCTATCACAGACTCATCATCTTTCTAACCTTATAGCCTACATCTGTCCAGAGATGGACGTGTTTTTCAAAGATGCTCATAATACCAGCAAAAAGAAAGAAAAAAAACATAATCCAAAGGCAGCGAGTTTCAGCATGAGCAGTGAAATACTGCTATGTCATAGAAAGCTAGATGCTGACTGAGAGGTGCAACTGGCTGCCTACTTGGTGAAACGCATCCTCAGGCTTTAGCTGCGGATCCCCTGGAAGCTGCTCCACTTCCACAAACATACGGTCCAGCTCATTTTGTCCCAGGGCGGAATTATCCGCCAAGATGTGACTGATCTCCGAGTTCACTATCTCAGGGAGGATGCCACTGCAGACAGATGCATGAGTCAAAACTAGCAGGGCGACCCGCATCATCATCATCATCATCATCATGATGCTGCTGCTCCTGCTCCTGCTGCTGCTGCTGCTGCACACTGAGAGTGAGGGTGTGGCCGTGATGCATCGTCACCACCACAGCTGATACTTCTCCGTCACTGCGGGGGTCATCACCTCCTCTGTAGGAGGTAAACCTGAACTTAAAGTCGTCACTGCTGGCTTCACATGAACTAACTTTAGTAATACATGTATCAAGGCACTCGTTTATGGCTTACAGGCTTGGTGCTTCATAAACTTTATCAGGACGCCTCAATGATAACTCCGGCCCAGTAAAAAGCCCAGTTCAATCCTTCGCAAGGTAAACGGTAAAGTCAAGAGGTAAAGAAGTAAAACAAGTTTTTTTTAGTTGAAAGATTTGTATTTTAGTGAAAAAGTCTTAAAGACGAATTCTGCGTGCGTGTAGTTTCACGGTCTGACCACAAGATGGCGACGTGCTGCATAGAGAGACCACAGTTTCTGCTGACACTTTGGAAAATGTTTAATGTGTTGACTTCCTAAATGCATGGCGCCAGGCCAGGGATTCGGATGTGAATGAGTCGAATTAAAACCATAAATAGGCGACATCTGCTTGCAATTGCTAGATTTGAACATCTGTCTGGCATAGCTATAAATTCCATTCAATGCTCATGCAGCTATTTTTTTTTGTGTGTGTGTTCAGTGCTTATAGCCTATACCTACTATGTTTGCAGCTACCCAAGAGTCAAAATGTTCTGTGTGGTAGCCTAATTTCTGTCTTTACGGTGAACTCACATTAGAAAATCGTGGGTGGTCGTTAAAAAGTAGCGAAACCCCCGTTGACATGAAAGAGTCTGAGGTCGTTTGGCTTAACCAGCAGCCACTGCTCAGGGATGTGTCCGAGTTCAGAGCACCGCCCTCAAACACTGGACTCAGCAGCTGTACAGAGACACACGTCTGCCTGGCTGTCACACGGACTCAGGACCGACGAACCTCAGGACCTCGTTTGACCGAAGACATTTGAAAGAAAGCATTTGAGTTTGGATTTGGTTGAGATATGAGGTGAGCTTTATATTTCCCACCCGTTCACACCTCAAAGTTTCATTTGTCTCTCCTAACCATGTGGCGGGCGTGAGGCTGAGACACCTGACAGACAAGCTTTACCTTATTTCACAGGTAACATGTGGGTTAGGTTGTGTCAGCGGTAAGTTTAACAAGGACTCTAGTATAGAGAACCAGGGTCATTGTAAAATGTAAAAATGGATGAAAAATTGTCTTTATGGACTTTTTAAACTGTGTTACTTAACCTATAAAACAACACTGTCCTGTACGACAGGATCAGGTAGCCTTAGTTGGTAGTCAGATCTTCTGTTTTGCTGCTTCGACCTTCAGTAGAATATGAACACGTGCTCAATGTGTTTTAATTGTTAACACGAGGATTAAAGGCTTTCTGAGAGGAGTCAGTCTCTGCTCCTTCATAACAGATCTCTAATCTTGAAAAGTGATTTCTGCTGTGGTTAATGTGCAGCTGCTGGTATTGATCAAATACACAGCTGAGCCTTTGATAAATACTGGGATTCCTGATTTACCAGGATAGAAAATGGTCAGACAAACAGTTGTACATAAAGGAAAATACTAAAAAAAAAAAAAAAAACCCAGATGATTTGTGAGGCTTTATTAACTCCTCACAGTAGGAACCATCATGTGTCTCTGTGTGTTACATTTCGACACACAGGGCTTAAGCGTTCTGTCTGGCGTGATTCACACGTCTCGCAAGATGATGCATGATGTGTTCAGCAACATTTTTAAGAGGGTCCCTGGAGTCAGAAAAACAGCGGTGGCTCTCCTTCCCACCACTGTATGAGCAATCATTTCCTGTGTACTTAACATCTGTTGAGGATACACCGTGAACTTGGATATCAAACTGTAAAGCCCAGATTTAATCTCAGCAGGATATAAATGCTAACACCTAAAGACTTTGGCCCAGACGCTGATGGCCCCCTGTGATTTACACTCCTGAAGATTAACATCTCTATGTATAAACATTTAGCAGCAATCCTCTCACACTGGAGTTTCCCTCTTCCAGTCATTTTCTTTTGAATCATTCATGTCCTGTGATTTAAAATACATGGTGGAAAGATTTACTCAGCAGTGTGTTGCTCAGTAAGATATGTGTTTATTTTTCAAACATTTTCTTTTCTTGCCAAATATAGCTTTAAGACTCGTGTCTGAGCATGCTCTATGGTTGCAGGCTATAACTCTCCTTTCAACAATTACAGCTATTCTACGGCTGAAAAATCATTGAAACATCACAAGATAACGCCCTGAGTGAGAAACCCAGTGTACCAAACTGAGTGAGGCACAGTAATGAAGCTGAACTTCCATATTTTTCAACTGTCCTCTGACATTTGTGAAAATAAAGAAAGCATGATTGACTTTAACTCTGCTTTGGTCACACACAACTGGCAGTTCTCGTGTCAAGCTTTAATTCTTATCTTACAATTAGGAGCTTAACAGAGTATTAATTTAACAATGGAACCAGCTTTACAGAAAGCTGCAGCTTCCTCCACTGCAGACAAATGAAAGGCCTACATTTAGATTATGCTTACCAAAAACTAAACATGTTTGATACTACTGTGTCTTGAACGTATCTTGGCTGTAGATGACACAGATGACAATTCAAAAGCATTTCAGCCTGTTGTCGACAGACACTGTTACAAAAGCCCATGACAGCTTGGATTGACAAACAAATGAGTGTTAGGAAATGAAGTCAACTTTGGTCACTTGTTAGATCCAGTGCTTTAATAAGTTCCTCAATCTCATGCTGCTTTTACTGTAACGTTATTTGTCCACTATTTTAGTTTTCAGATATGAATGTGTACCAAGTGACACAGTAGTTTATGCATCTGAGTAATTAAGATATGTGAGGATGTGATGCTGGGGATGAAAACAATGTTAATGTGTCTCATGCAGCGCTGGAAGTTTGGGAGGCGGTGTAAACTTTCTCCTTCCTCTCTCTGCCATATGTTTCCTTCCTTGTTCCACAGGATTAAAACCGGACACTCGTGTCCAAATGTCAGCCTCACACATGAGATTTGATCATTCACAAATAGATGGGGCATGAAGTAGTAGTTTGTAATCACACAAAATGTTTACTGCTATATCAAAAAAAAGGGGAACATTTCGGCTATGTTTAGTTGAATAAAAATATGTATGGACGTGTCACATCCAGACCGATCACACTGTTAAAGATGGAGCCAGTGAAGGAGGCACAAGGAGACTTTTCTGTGGTGGAGTCCCATGCAGGATACCATTAACACTTTCCATCTGGCATGGACGGACAGAGCACACGAAAGACATTAAAGATATCTTAGTCATGCTTTCAAATGACAGAGGTGGAATTTTACAGTGGGCATCTCTCCTCTGAGCTTTGATCAGGACAGGAAACCAGACTCACAACACAGGAAGAGTTTGTATGGGAGGCGGCTGAGGGAGCTCGCACACACTGCTTTAGCACTGGGAACTAAAATGTTCATAAAGGTGTCTCTTTCTCAGTGAATCATCATGATTCAGTTTCTGTATACAAAAGACTCTCATGCTGTTAGTTTAAACAGGAGACTCCAGATCACTTGATTTGTATTGAGTTGCACTTTGTACATGTGTTTATTTCACGCAGTCTTGTTTACAGGCTCTTATTTACAGGTTCTTGCTGTGTTGATATCTCCTCAGGTCATGTGCTGTTTGCTTCTGTAGCATGACACTTGTCTATATTGAGCCTGGCTTTACTGATTGTTGGCTCACACAATCTGCTATTTCTCTCAGGCGGTAATACTACCATCTAAACCTTCACTGTGTCACTGAGAGACTCCCACTGGTCTTTGACCCTCACTGCCACTAACACTAATGCTTGTCTTTGCCTTTTGGTTCATGTGTACTATGCTTTGTACCCATTTCTGATGTTCTGAGGGTTTTATGATTTTCTTTTTCTTTTCTGTGGTTGAACTAGAAGATGTGACATATTTACTGTTATATTAGTTATTCAGTAGACTAAGTTCTTGTATACTTTTAGATTGGTGGTCAGAGTCAGAATAAGTGTTGAAGAAAGTTGTTTGTGTCAGTAGCTGGCTAGACAAACCTCTGTGCTCACAATGTCCGGATAAATCATTCTCTAAAGGAGCCATGTGGTGAGCACACCTCGTGGGCCAGACTGGCCTGTGGACATGAGCCCTGAAGCTTCTGCTGAACAGCCTGCTCCTGTTTGTGTAAATGAACATTTTGTCTCCTCTGAAGCTGGCTGACATTAACTGCTTTCTGACAGAATCTTTACCTTGCTCACATCAGATTTTTTTATTTGGGCACGGCTGCCTCACGCCCAGCCAGATTTCAGAGAGCTGAGATAATACTGTGGATCTCTGGGGCCGGGCAAAGGGCAGAGCCGGCAGGCTGAAGTCCACATGAGCACTGTTTTCCAGGGCATGCTGCCTGCTTATCAGGACTGCAGAGGGTTCCTTCCTGGTTTTCTTCAGTCAAGTCTGTAATTACTGTCGCTTGCTGGCTATGCTACAGTATGTGCGTTTCCCAGCATTCCCAATGTTTTCCTTGTGTTGTCAGCTCCCTATTGTACTTTGATAGCCTGAAGCTATGTGCTCTGCAGAAACAAATGACGCCATTGCATCACTGGTTTGACGCTGGTTTGGTGTTTTTACAGTTTTTCACTCTGAGTTGTTCTTTGTTTTTTAAAGCAAACTCATGGTCACTTTCACCAACTGCACATTTAAAAGTATTACATGACTTATTTTGTGATCAGTGGATATACTTTCGTTATTTAAATCAAGGAGTTTGTTTTAAATGCCAAAAGCAACAATAGGTCAGCCTGTGCAGCCAAAACCTGATCCAGCTTTTCATGCCACGGCCTTCTTTTGAGATAAATAACATTTAAAGAAATAGACATAACACATCCAGTTGTATTAAGGGACCTGCTTCTTTGTGAAGATTAACACGGACAACTCAGTTGGGAAACAAATGGCTGTTATCCTTTTGAAAAAAATGTTACCCAAGAAATGTCGAATTTACTTTGGCTTAACAATAAGAAGAAAAAAAAAGAAACTTGTCCATTTTTACTCCTGAAACCTTTTGATAGATTCAAGTTTACAGTAAGGACGATGTTTCTCAGGGCTGAGTGTCACCACCAGGGTTGGGCAGTTGTAAAGTAACAACTTGCTGGTTTTGTTATTTCATGGTATTAGTTGAAAATATGAAAAATGTAGCATAAAGCCAGCTTTGTCCTTGAGACTTTAATTTGACTATGTAGTTATCTATCTGTCCATGTTGTGGCCTTATTTGGGGTGCATTATTCTATAAATGGACTTGAGCTTGTATAGCGCTTTTCTAGTCTTCTGCATTTATGTTTACCGCAGGTCAAATTCAAATCCAAATGTGAAAATAAAAAACACAAGAAAATGTCGGTCTGTGGTTTAAGGGAAGGCAGGTGTATAAAGGTGTGTTCAGGTACATATTTTGATCCCCCTTCTTTTTTCCTTTTCACCACCCAGGTGTGACAGGTACATTTTTCACATTTTTCACATTCCCCTTCTATCTTATAGATACCAATAGCTTGCCAAGTATTTTCCCCACACAGCAGTTCTGTATTTTATTATGTGCTGTATAAAGGTATTATTTGTCTTTGGGGAATGTAGAAAGTGTTCTATGAACTTAAATAAGGTAAATACATAAATCAAGTATCAGGAGAAAGAAGAGGTTGAATTGATCACAATATATATATATATATATATATTATATTATAGCACAGCTCAAGTTTCATTCTGTTATTCTACACTGTTTATGTAGAAAGTAAACCGTCCTTCACAAGGACTGCTGTCTGTTTCACTCAATCCGATTATTTTTAAACTGACAGGAGACTTTAAAACCTGCAAACTGTCAATCTCTCCCTCTAGCACTATATGGTTTGGTTGTGATGTACGATGTGGGTGCGTTCGTATGTATTCTTTCCGCTATGTCTGTCATTAGTCGTATTTTTACAGCCTTTCTGTGGGTTTGCTCCGTCAGCCCACGAGTGTCTTTCCATTCTGTCAGACAGAGATGGTGAAGTCATTGGACTCTTGTCTGAGACAATGCAGTTTGAGTGTGGAGCGCTGACTTTGCTGTGAAGTCAGTGCGTGGTCCCTTTTCATTAGTCCTCTCAGACTCCTGCTACAGATGGTTCCAATAATTGTGCCTCTTTTACCACGTTACTTGGACTGTGAAATGTGAAAGCATTAGTGCAGTCAACATGTCTGTATTTCAACTTTCCACCAAAGCATGAACAATTATTTAACAGTGGCCAAAGTCTGAACTAAAATTATACCAACATACAATTTGTTGCTCTTCCTGAATGTCAGACACAACTGCAGTTTGATTTTGTACAATAATTAGGCTTTTCTTTTCTTTTACATCCCCCTGCCTCAAACTAATTAATTTTAACTCCACAGTCGTAAACACTCCACAGAGGTTCTATGGAAGATATAATTTAGGTCCCAAACTCTCCACATACCCCATGGTACAATACACAGCAATTTTCCCATCACCATCTGCTGCCATGCACGAGAGATTAAAGCACCTGCATCATATATCATGCCTGTCTCAGTCATCGCTCGTCACTCTTAACAGTCAGAGAGTAAATTCACCCAAAAAAAACACAGTAGTGGTCCCGTGACTGCCTGACTGGTGGAGCTGGTGAGAGGGCTAGCTGGGTGTTGGGCTCATGCTGATGGAGCGCTTCAAAGCTCCTCTATCCACGTGGCAAAGGAATGTCAGCTCCCTGTGTTTGAGGCTGGTTGTCTGCTTTGAAAGGCCTCAGGGGTCCAAAGTATTTACCAACAGGACAGGGGCTTTTAGGTGTAGAGAGCAGACTGACAATGTTCTGCATTTACAGTTTTCTTTCCCAGCTTAATCTTCCTCTGAAATGTAAAAAAAATCAGCAGCAGCATGAAAACAGGATGCAAACAAGCATCCAAACAGGATCTTGTGCAAATGAACATGCTAATTTTAGCCAAAGGACAAATGCTGGCATCAACATACAAAGTCTCACCATATTCAAATCCCACTCAGAACTGTTGTGGCCCATGTTGTGACTAATCTTTCCGTGCATTGGTGCATCCTCCCTGGCTAAAGATCTCTGTGAGTTTGTCAGTTTTATGGCTCGGCCATGTTGCAACCTGAGGCCCTGTGGAGGGGTGTGACAGTAACACAGGCTTACTGTGGGGGTCTGTATCAGTGCTACCCAGCCTGACCTCGCCTGTAACCCTGCCCATCCCGCTCAATGGGACATTAAAATATCAAAAGCAGACTTCTCCAAAAACTCACAGAAGCTGTGGTCTCCACCCTTACTGAGCGCTCACATGCTTAATGTAGAAAATTTTCACGTTTCCCCTTTGATGTCGAGTTCTGCTGCAGAATTTCTGGCATGATTTCCAACGTACTTGATTGTTGATTAAAGGAAAGGGGAAAGTTTGTTTTTAATTCAGTTATTTCAGCTCTATTCTGACACAGGAGTGTGTTTTAGTAACAGTGTCTTTCACACGAAGGCCCATATGTAAGCATACTGAATACACAAACCTCAGTAGAGAAGGTGGATTATTCAGCATGCATACCCCAATCAAAAGTCAATCCATCTCTGTAAGTGTAGGCTTGCATTTCAATACCCTTGTTTCAAAGGCCCCCTTTTGACTGCTGAAAACATTGTCTGGTTTTGAGCTGGAATGTAAAATACCACAAGACAAATACTTTTCTGCTCTACTCATCCATGGTCAGTGCTGCACGCTAGGAATGAAAGGTGCTTAACAGAAACAAACAGTGTGGTTCTTTCAATTTCAATACTAGAAAATCCTCTTTTTTACCCACACTGAAGACAGAAACAAAGTTATTTTATAGAAAGTTGTCTGCTGGGAAATTTAGCTGTTAGTTAAAAACATATTCTGTATGCATGTGTATCATGTGGCATGTTTGTGTTGATTCCTTGCAGCCTTCACATTAGTCTCCCTTTCCGTTTTAAAAGTTTTAAATTACCTTCTGAATGCCAGAAAAAATATTTTGCCACAAACTATAACTGAAGATATCTTCTAGAAATTCCGAGAGATTTCGATGATTCGTGTATGGTGAATATACCATGTTCCAAAAGTTCTGATCCGTGTTAAACTTTTAAATGAACCTTGAAATATTTGTGTTCATGGGAACCAGAGAGAATAATCTCAAACCACAAACAGTGGTTATACCTCTATAAAGCTCGAGTAGGAAATAGACTCATTTGACTTTTTCTCTTTATTCTGGTATTTTCTGTGAATGTGGGTGTAAGCTGTTTCAAAATGCATGTTGACTTTACGCAAGAGAGCGCAATAATCATAATTCAGTAATGTTTGCTGGAGTCACAGAGCAGATCTAATACAGCTGTTTTTTTAAGTTTATGAAAATCAAAACAACAACCTATACTTAAAATATGTGTTTCTTTAAACTATTTGAATGAATAGAACACTTAAAAACACATAGGACTATATTCATAGAATTAGTCTCCTCGAGCCATCTGTGAGAGACATTTAACTATAAGATGACATCACTCTTATGTGTCTTGCCTCTGCAGACCGGGCATGACGGTGCGGGCCGAGCTGAGGGTGTAGCCACATCTGGCACAGACTGCTGAAGTAAGCAGGAGCCCCTCAGATCACCAAACCATCGACTGCAGCAAGGAAGATGGGTGAGACAGAGGAGGAGAGGGATAGTGTGGGGAAGCTGTTTGAGAACTTCATCCAGGCCTCGACCTGTAAGGGGGCCCTACAGGTCTTCAATGTCCTCTGCAGACTAGTCGACCTGGACCCTGCAGACAACAGCACCTTCTACAGCAGCCTGAAGGCCAAGGTCAACACCTGGAAGGCCAACGCTCTGTGGAGTAAGCTGGACAAGAGGATGTCACATAAAGAATACAAGAAAGGCCAAACCTGTGCTGGCACCAAGGTAAGTCTTACATACGTCTTTTACAGCTGCACTCGTCATGAAAGAGCATCAGACAACTAGGCAAAGGGGGGACTATTTTGAACTTGACTTCTTACTTAACAATTGCCCCTTTTAGTTTATCATAACACAACGTCATTTTCAGCAAAAGTAAGAAATTGAAATGCACTAAGCATACATTTTATCACACGTGATATCGTACTCATTTTAGACTGTCTACTTTTTATTGTGTTTTTCCGGATACACCACCATGGTAGTAAACTGCCCAGTCTTGGGGCAGCAGTGAACACACAATGATTTCAAACAGACCTTATTTTCCTTATTTATTACTTGTGACTAGGATTATAAAAATTGTTAACGCAATGAGTTACAGCTGCAAACATTCCAGCTACAGTACCAACTATTGTAGTTTTGTTTTATAAATATACATTTTATATAAATTCAACATGACCATTGGATACTAAAAACAGAAAGAAGACAAATATTCCCTTGGATTGTTTTAGTCTATACTATTGTGTGATGAAATGTAAAAATATAAGAACCAAGCTTATATCAATTCTTAATATAAGAGAATTAAGAATATGAAACAGTTGTATGAATGTGTCTAAAAATATCATGAGACGTTTTTCATACAAAGCTAACGTTGATATTTAATGATTTAGGAAGTATATTTGTGACTTCAACACACGTGGTTCCTGTTTTTTTTAGGAACAAACGGCACATTGTTCCTCCTCAGAACTGTTGAAGTACATTGACTAGCGCCCCCATCTGCGGCATTGTCATGCACATCCCTTTCACTTCTCTCTGCCAGGACACAACACATCCACCAAATTACCGCTCACTCTTTAATCGTTGGAGCTCCCAATGTGCAGCACAGGAAATGAAAGGGATATACTTTGCTTTGCACTAATTCTCTTCTTCCAACTCTTTGATGCATCCATGGCATTGCAATTGTTTAACCCAAAGGAGGGTTTTTAAATAAACGTAACATGGAACAGAAAAACCACAAACACACTTACCACTTAATCTATTCTTGAAAACAATTCACGAGAGCTATTGAAGAGATTTCCTGAGATGACCAGTGTAAAGATAGCTGCAATGAGGACAAAATAATGATGTCAAGGTGTGTTTTGATGGGGGAGGGCTTGGCTGTATAGGTGATGAGGGAAATCAGGAAAACCTGGAGGAGTGTGATTACCTTTCAGGCATCAGCTGCCTGCAGCTTGAAAGGGTGTTTTTATTGCACACAGAAACAGGCAGCATCACTCAACAACTATGATTATTTGGCCCCAGTTATACTGAGGGTGTGCTTTGCTCTTTTATAGGCTCTTCCTCAAAGGTTGGAACCAGGCCCAGACTGTTATTAAAATGTGTTTCAATTTCGTCAGCGTGCGCTCAGTTTTACTGGTTCTATCTGATCGAAGCCGAAACCAAAATAGGTAAAAAAAGAAGAAGAAGGTTAACACTGATGTAAGTGTGACTCAGTGAAGTCAAAAGTTATGGCTCTGAGTTTGATAGTGAGGTAATCTACAGGGATGTATTGTCTGTGTGCACACATGGAGTAACCAGATGTACCAGTGGCTTTTGTGTTTTATTGAAACACTTATGTCTTTCTTTTACAAGTCTTAGATTTTCAGAGTTTCTTGTATCAACACATTAAAGTGCAGCACGAGGTCTGTTTCAATCCCTCATAGTACTGACAATCTGCTTTTACTTGATAACTAATTACTCCTCTCCCCGGGAGAATCACAAGGTGTCGGTGACAACTCGCTTTTTTTTTTGCAACTCAGCTATTTAACGGTGACGCATGTGAAATCACTCAGCACCCCTTCTTCATATTCCCGCTGTAGCAGCAACCTTTAAAGGATGTGATGTCATTCACGTTTTATGGCCTGATACAGATGGCTACAGTGACACTGACAACAGTGCCTTTGTTCCTCATAAAGTATAACTGAAAAAGACACAGCCCAAGTTTCTCTTTTTTAAGAATCCATGATGATTATTCTGGCACACTTCATCTGAGCTCTGTTACAAATCTTCATTCAAGAGATAGCCCCGATCAACATTACACTTAATTTCAATGGAAAACAACTTCAGCCCCATTTGTATTAATAAGAAACCCCAAATGAAGTATGTTGAACACTCGTGAAAATGTGCTCTACTTTGGTTAGACAACTAGTTACGATCAATTATGGTCTGATATGAATGCCTCAATTTTTTTTAATCCCATTAATCACATGCTATTTTGTCCTTGTAGACGCACCGTAGAAAAAACTTCTCAATATCAAGTCACAGTCAATGGAAAAGAACGACACCTCTGCGCCCTTGAATGTCTCATCATAAAAGCCTTACAGTTTTTATTTTAAAATGATACATAATGGAATTTTGAACATGCAATTAAAAATGTGATTAATCAAGGTTAACTATGGAATTCAGTGATTAATCGTTTGACAGCCCTAATTTCAGGTTTAGGATGATTGTTTTTGTGCCCTCAGCTGAAAGGATTAGTTAACTAGTTCAGTGACTTAAAATATATACCCAACAATTTAACTAATTGAGTAATAGTTTGAATAATGTCAAAATGCTGTCATGTAAATTGAGACCAGTTTATTCTGAGACAATCCACAAAATATTTTTTTAGCTTTCACAAGGAGATCTCTACTCTCACAGAATCCCATAAACCTGCAGCTACCTATCCACTCGAGGTGAAACATGCTCTGAAGGACAGATGAGGCAGGGAACCACTGTGATCAGAGCAAGGTGTAGCAGAGATGAGAACGAGGTCATAGGTGGCAAGCTGAAAGGAAGTGTGTGTGTCCTGACTCAGCAGATGTGGAGCAATCTGTCAGGAAAAAGCCTCCTATCTGGAATAATACATTAGCGAGTGGAAACACGCTAAAACAAATAGCACGTTGCTGCTGGCGTCTGACAGTCAAATGAAAATAGGTTATTTGAGTGTATATAACAAATATGCACATTGCGAAAGAACATCTCGATAGTATATCTTTAACATCCTGCCCTCTCTGTCTGCTGCTGTGTAAATTCTTTCCCTTACTCGCCTTTTGTTGAGAGACAAAATACACAGCTGCCAGACAGGCTTGTCCAGGCAGCTCTTCCACCACCTGTGTTGTGATGTCATGTGTTGCCTGATCACCTCAGGCAACACATGATGACACATTGTGCTCCTCATCACTCATACCCCCTATGAAAGCACCCTGCATTTCAACCACACATCCAGAGAGAGGAAACAGGGAATGGCTCAAGCCATATAGGGGATGTTCTTAGATATAGCACCCAGTCTGAATAACTTACAGAACTAATATGTAGGGGTAGCATCTATTGCGGCTCTCCTGACTTGGGGTTAACGTTTCAAAGACAAGCAGGGTGGCAGTTATTCCTCCTGTTTAAACTTGTTTGAAAGCACACTGTCTGCATACTGGTGATATTTAGTTGCCAGGCATTGACCTAGCTCTTTGTGCTATTGTTGGATAATTGGAAAACAAATTAAATTCTTTCCCTGGATGGTGACAAAGATCTTTTTTCAGACGAGACATGAGACTGTCCACCTTGTTGAGCACAGCAGGAACAACCTTGAGAAGTGTTCTGGTTCTGGGTTAAAAGTCACAAGAATAATGGCCCACACATTTCCTCTTTATACAACTCTCTCTGCAGTGCCTCTTTACATGTTTAGAAGAAAAGAGGAGTCCGTTTGCCAGCCTTGGTTCTTTCATCTATAATCAAGAAGATGATGTCATTTTAGAGCTGCACATTCTCAGACAGATGCTATAACCTCAACTCACTGACTTCATGCATTTTTGGGAGGAGGCAGATGCATGAATACCACCTTGAGATATGTTAACGTTGCAATATTGGTTTGGATGGCTGGCAGAAGTTTGAAAAACTTCCTCATATGTCATTTCTGGTACATGAAAGCTCTTAATATGCTTTCAAAAACAATCCTTCTACACATAAAGAAGACAGGAATAATCCTCAGATCCCGTGTCTATCCGCCTCACATGTCCTTGAGTGAGACACTTCAGTCCTAAATACTCTAAAAGGTGCGGTAGAGTTCTGATATGTAGATGTTGTAATGAACCTCTGTGTGTTAGTAATTCATTTTTGTCTTGGCATCTTCTGCTGGAAAAGTCTCAGCCTTCTGTTATATTATAAAGCTGTCAGCATGATGTAGCTCACTTCTCTGTGAAAGGTAATGAGTTCATTTGTCTTCCATCAAGTGTCTCATCATCGGCGGAGGCCCCTGTGGTCTGCGGACGGCCATCGAGCTGGCTCTGATGGGTGCCAAAGTGGTGGTGATAGAGAAGAGAGACTCTTTCTCGCGGAACAACGTGCTGCACCTTTGGCCCTACACCATTCACGACCTGCGAGGCCTCGGGGCCAAAAAGTTTTACGGCAAATTCTGCGCGGGGGCCATTGACCACATCAGTGAGTATCTGACTTTAACTGAGCTTCTGATCACATATTGCTCGCCTTTGTGCACACTGTAGAGTATTTAATAAGACACAAAGGATATTCTGCACTCTATTTTTAAAGAATTTATCAGCGCTAAATAGTAAAAGAACGTTTCTCAGCATTTATCTTGTGTTTAAGTTTTATTGCTGCTGTAGATTTTAGGATAAAAAAAAAACACATCTGTATGCAGATACTGATGTTTCTATGTGCCTGTGTGTCTTAAAGGTATCCAGCAGCTGCAGCTGATCTTACTGAAGGTGGCCCTGATCGTTGCAGTGGAGTTTCACATCAATGTGGAGTTTGACAAGCTGTTGGAACCTCCAGAGGATCAGGAAAATGAAGGTGTCAAAACATACATGTTTTCTGATATTCAAAGGGTTAGGGTTAGATAGATAAAGACATCAGCCTGCTTCTGTCAGTTTTCTTTTTTTAAATGCAGATACCGTGCAGCTTTCCAGGGGAACTCTGCTCTGTTACTCTATAGTTTGGCACTCTTCTTGAAGGCTGGTGACGCAGCAAGGGACTTCTCATCCTGCTGTATTAAATATCCTTGACAGCTACAAATAAACAAGAGAAAATATTGGCAGTGATCTACTGGATCATCTTATTTGTTGCATGACGTCCGTGTAAGTGCAAAGATTTATGCTCCACATTAACAGCCCCTACTTATAACGTTAATACCAGCTACTCAAAACTCTTTCCTTTGTTTCTATCAGTCAAAGACATCATGATATTTTTACAACATTCAGCATTTTAATTCACTTAGATGACACGTCAAGCTGCCTGACTGTTTGATAATCAAATTCCATTAAGTGTTAAGAAGTCAGCACAATGTGCTTAACATTGATGTTTGTAGCACGACACCGACTCTACATCACTACATGACCCTCTCCTCCCATGTTGGACTATACACTCACATAAAGAAAATAGCTTGAATATCAAAACACACTGATAACAAACGAGAGCCTCGCCTAAATTTAGACACAGACTTGTCCCTCCTGCTCTGCTGTGACGGTCTTAGCTGTGCCCTTGACATCATGGAAAGCATTTTACAAATGGTGATATTACACAACAAACAGCCAAGCTCTTCCTGTGCTGGTGGCATAACGGCCAAATCATGAAACTTTTTTTTTTTATGGGTCAAGTTTGCATGCAGTACAGCGACTTGTTTTTTTAAACTAACTTTACAGCACAAACACAGTGTGCACGTATGCATGTTATTTTGTATTTCTCTATATTGGTACATTCTCTGCATTGACATGTGTTCATAGCAGGTGGTAAAGAGGTCCAGGAAGGATAGATGTTTTCACTGAAACCCTTGAAATGTCCTTGAGCAGAAATACCAACCTTTATCAGTTGACATTTTTTTCACATGCTGTGCTGAATGTGCAGCATACCGCCCAAAATGAATATTCCTGGGATTTATATAACGTTTTTTTCTTTCAATGCGCTCTCACTCTAAAATTGTCTTTGTTTCCATCTGTCAGGGATTGGGTGGAGAGCTGCAATCCGACCTGCTGATCACCCTGTGGCTAACTTTGAGTTTGACGTGGTGGTGGGGGCCGACGGACGCAGGAATACTTTGGAAGGTGAGAAGACTGATTAACAGTATACATGCCTGAAGGATGTACTTGACCTCGCTCACAAAGCACAATATGAAGTTACTTGTCTCGGTTCAGGGAAGGAACAATCCTTAACCCAAATGGAAACTTTCCCACCACCAACATTTTAAGCACAGACTTAGAGCCTATTGTCCTTCAAGTAATGACTAATTTTATCGAAACACATTTATTTATTTTTTTGACTCTGTTTAGGTTTTACTGCAGTGATGTTTAGGAACATAGGCCTGTATTTCTAATTTTCTTTTTCACAGTTGTTTAAAGTATGTTTTGTTTTATTGCGGCAACCTGTGAAGCATCATGCAGAACATAAAGTCTTTCTTACTTTTGATTAAAGTCGGATAAAAACCAGCACACCCTCTGTTTACAGAATAGTGAAACATGTCCCTCAGGGCTTCTTCTGGACAACCCGTGCTATGTTATTTCTGTTGTGCAGCTACAAATAAAGCTCACCTTTTTATAAACTCAGATGTGTCTGAAGCCATTGATCTCTCCCAGTGGGAGAGGTTATTTTTGCAACATCGCTCAGAAATAGAGCAGAGCTGCGGCTCAGCGCAGCAGATGATGCATGCACTCTGGACTCTCCATCTGTTTTTTTCTTGCTGTTTCAGTCTCTCCTTAAAAATGCTGTCATCTAACAACCAATTCTCATCACATGTTTATTCCTAAAAAGGACATATTTAGTCAGGACAAGACGGTTAGCTCATTCTTCAATAATGAAGAGAGCTGGGGGAATTGATTTCCCCTTTGCAGTCAGCCTGCTTTTAACAGAGCGTTAAATGCAATCAGACCTGCAGAGGGGGAAAAAGTATGTCATGTTTTTTTAACAGTTGCAGTGTGTTCGAGTTGTGACACAAGTTTAGCCACTTAACTTCTGACTGAAGAAAATAATGTCACAGGCTCATAAGTCACTTTGACAGACAATCCACTTTAATTCCTTTCACACTTAAAGGGTCAGGATCGTTTACATTTTTAGTGCCTTTTTGAGAATTAGTTCAGGTTGTTTCATATGAACCAGCAACATGTTGAACTTTGAGTTTACTCTTTTAAGATGTGGGCTTGGAGTTTATGATTTTTGATTGGACCATGGAGAGTTTCCTAGGTCCCTGTCTCCTGGTTCAAAACATAGTGTCAAAAGAACTACTCTTTTGATGTAGTATTGCATATTGAAGACATGAATAAAAGTATTAATCCTCTATATGTCCTTATATATTGAAGTACATATTTCATCACTTACAAGACTGCAAGGCAGTAAAATTATCATAGTCGAGTTGATGCTTCACTTCTTTAGATTAACTATGTATGTAGCCACTTTAATGGCAGCACTTCATTCATTTAAGGCTCTGCCACGTAAGATGCCTCTTCTCTGAAAGTAGTTGCCTTATCATGTGGCTTTATGAGGTTAGATCATCTTTGGTTTTGTTCAGACATGCCTGATAACAATGTTTTGAAAATAGACATCCTGTATGTTTCTCTGCTTCATTTTTTATCTTTCTGTCCTTTTCTCTCTCAGGTTTCAAAAGGAAGGAATTCAGGGGGAAGCTGGCGATCGCCATCACAGCCAACTTCATCAACAGGAACACCACGGCAGAGGCCAAAGTAGAAGAGATCAGCGGCGTGGCTTTCATCTTCAACCAGAAGTTCTTTCTGGACCTCAAAGAGGAGACAGGTGGGAGAGCAGCACAGTTAACCTGCTTCACTGTGGTGTTAGCTGCTATACTGTACAGATGAGATGGTGGCACAATGGTGTCAGAGCAGAATTTGACATTTATGGGTTAAAGTTAGACAATCCTTGTGTCAACATTCAAGAATTTGTTCCGGTGGTGTTTTTTCTTTCTCAAATCACATCATGCGTTACAGGTATTGATCTGGAGAACATCGTGTACTACAGGGACAACACTCATTACTTTGTCATGACTGCAAAGAAGCAGAGTCTGCTCGACAAGGGAGTTGTCATTAATGTAAGTAGAATGCATTCAGGGCAGTTGTCCAAGGATCCATTGTGGCCCTATGCATTTCTATCATTTCTTATCTTATTTTCCTCCGTTATAAATCATTTTGATATGCAGAAGGGATTTTAATCATTTAATAATTTTACTCCTGAGTCCTATGTGCAGCAAAACCACAACTTTCTAAACAGACTTTAAATAAAGGATTTTAGATCTTTAGGAAATGTTAGCTGAGGCTTTCTGTGTTTATCACATTTCTCTTCGAACAGGATTACATCGACACCCAGATGCTGCTGTGCAGTGAAAATGTCAACCAGGAAGCTCTTCTGTGCTATGCCCGAGAGGCTGCTGACTTTGGCACCAACTACCAACTTCCAACGCTGGATTTTGCCGTAAACCACTGTGGGCAGCCAGATGTGGCGATGTTTGACTTCACCAGCATGCACGCCTCTGAGAATGCTGCTCTTGTCAGGGAGAGGCTTGGACACCAGCTGCTGGTAACGCTGGTTGGCGACAGCCTGCTGGAGGTAAGGAACGGCGAGGAGGGGAAGTTTAGGGATTTAGTTGGGAATTTAGAATCCTGACTGCCTGTAAAAAAGATTTGGCAGTCATGGCTGAGATTCTCAGATTGTTCTGCTTGAACTGGCGCTGTAAGATGACGATTGGAGACATGGCTCCTTTGCAATTCTGGTATGTTATGTTGATGTTCTTGTTCCAGTGAGCTGTAGGCTGCCCCTCCAGGTCTCTGTGTACAAAGTCATAGTTTATGATCATGTCAGTGAAAGTAGCCAAAAGTATGTTTTTGATAAAGCACACAGTGACTTTACTTCAGAGAGGGATTTAAAGGATTGCTGTTATGACATGTGCAAGCTGATGATTACAGTTAAACAGATAGTATATAACTTAAAAGGTTTTATTCAAAGTTCCTTTTGTAGAACTTTAAATTGATCTTTTGTCTGTAGTAGATCACCTTAATGTTTGATTTACCCAACTTGTTATGTTTGACACACTTTATTAGTGTTATGCCTGCACATATGCCACTCATATGCCGCTGCATATGCCACTCATATGCCTCAGATTGGCATATGCTGCTTCTTGTCCACTCATATGCTGCTCATATGCCAGTCAGATTGGCAAACAGTGCAGTGGCACATACTGGTAAGACTGGCATACAGGGCTGGCCCAGTAAAAGCTATATAAGCCTGCCCCCATCCTGTCTGACAGGAGTAGTCTCCGTGCAATGCATGTGTGAACAGCCAGGTCAGGAGAACATCCGGAGCACTCCCCCTGAAAGATCTACATATTTTCAGGAGTGCATGTGAAAATGCCTAGACGCCACTGCAGCAGCACACTTTGTAGCTGTGCATCATGACAGTGCCGGCCTGAACTGCTCTGCATTTAAATATTCTGTGATCCATACAGCGGTGCCTGTTTGAACTTGCCAGTACTACAACTTTCTATACTTATTAGAGCTCTCTAGAACTGCCGTCAATGTTGTGCTTTGCCTCTGTGCAATGCCTGTCAGCACCTGTGTTTCCAATCGGACTCAAAGCTGATCGTTTGCTCTTACTGACATTGTTCCCTTTTTTTCTAGATCCTTGCTTGTGTTGTACTTAATCTCTGATGTACGTCGCTTTGGATAAAAGCGTCTGCTAAGTGAATTGTAGAACTTTTACACAAATCGATCTGCACAGCCCGCTGCTTAGCCGCATCCCTCTGCTGCTGCACTCCCCGCGGTCACGACACACCCCGACATGCACAGGGGTGCGAGGGCCCTTCATCACCGCTTGCGGTTTTAATTATGCTTGTCTTTGTCATTTCAGCAAATCAAACCAGATCAAATGTTTTTGTTATGTGTTCATGTGCAGCCCTTCTGGCCCATGGGGACGGGTTGTGCCAGAGGCTTTCTGGCTGCCTATGACACCGCCTGGATGGTAAAGAGTTGGGCTCATGGACGGACCGTTCTGGAAGTGCTTGCAGAGAGGTTTGCACACACACACACACACACACACACACACACACACACACACACACACACACACACACACACACTATTTGCAAAGTATTGAATTTTATTCAGTACAACCCACAATGTGATCTATGTGTGTTCAGACACTTGTTTTCTGAATAAGCACTTCTTTGTTAAAGTGATGTTGAGTGAATAAATTGAATTGAAATAAATTGGTGAACTGTTTTTGTAAACGCTGCTGTATAGGATTGCTGCTAACAAAGTTTCGTTGTGTCCTTGTATACAATGATAATAAAGATTCTATCTATCTATCTATAACACCATGCTTCTTGCACTGTTATTTTTGTTTTTATAGGGAGAGTATTTACAGGCTGCTTCCACAGACAACACCTGAAAACATTGCCAAAAACTTTGAACAGTACACCATAGACCCTGGGACTCGATACCCCAACCTAAACTCCTCTTGTGTTAGGCCCCACCAGGTGAGAGGGAGAACGAAATAACACAATATCAGTTTTTTAACATTAGTCATTAAGCCATGTTCTTAATGAATACCCACTCCTTTTTGAGTTGTGTGAGATTTTAAACATCTTTCCTCCCTTCTCGTTTCAGGTGCGTCACTTGTACATCAGTGGAGAGCTGAGTTCCTGTTCTTTGGAGCGAGCTGCTTCGATACGTCGGCCTGTCAATCTGAGAAGACAAGGTAAATTCAACAGGAGCCGGCAGAATCCTGTGTGTCGTTTTGATGAGTGTGTCACCATACAGTGAAGAAGATTTTGAGAACAAAGTTTGCTTGCTACTGTCTCTAATTCAGTATTTATGATAGATATCTGACTTTGTTACTTTGAAAGAAGCATTAGTTAAACCACACTTTGGTCCGTAGCTTTCCTTTCTTCTTCTGACTAATAAAAGCAGTAAAGAAGAGGAAACCTTTTTATTTAGGGAATGGGACACAACTCAGAGTTTGTGTTTACATGTCAGTGCACTAAAAGGAGATGGGTGCTTTAACAGAAAATCTGCTAGGTTCATCAAATGAATAGTCAAACACACATATCTCTTTCTACAAATTCTTGTTATATATTCTTGTATAATAGAAACCTGTATTATACTCTGCACTGAAATCATTCTCAAAGGCAGACCTGTGTATCCTGATAAATGTGTGTGAGGCTAAAGTATTCTCCTTTTTATAATTATCTAATCATAGTGCTGCAGAGTTGAGAATATGATTATATACTGTACGTCCTCGGAACTGACAGTAAGGATAGAAGCTCTGTATACTAAACTGAGCTGTATGTTTGAGTAACTTGAGTCATTTACCGAAGGCATGGAGGAAGTACATGTCCAGACAAAGACAAAGTTGTGTACATACCTCAGCTCCCAGTATATCTGTCTTAGCCGTATTTACTGACACGTCATGTGTTGATCCTTGCTTCATCATATTGTCTCCAGCCTAACCTCCCTGGGGTTATGAGTGGAGGATATTTATTGCTTTGAAAAGTTATGTGAGGAATGATTTCATTGTTTTATTAAAAAATACCTTTCCTCGTTTCTTGTGTAGAGTCTGAAATCAGACCAGCTAGGCTTCTCACCTGGTGCCAGAAACAGACCGACGGCTACAAGAATGTGAAGATCACAGACTTGACATCTTCCTGGAAAAGCGGCATCGCTCTTTGTGCCTTGATTCACCGGTTCAAACCCCAGCTGATGTACGTAACACATGTCTGATAATATCAGTACTATCCCACAGCCATCACATCATTTACCTTATCATATGACTTTACTGAACGTAATGCATATGACATAAGCATGGAACAAACCTGTTTTTTTTTTTAGCTCTGCACCCCCTCTGTAACAACTAGTTGTGAGGGAATGCCTTTCTTATGGGTGTGTTAAAAATACTTGGCATGTGTGCAAGTCTTTAATCTCCTCCTCACAACCTGTAGAACACTTAACCTTTTACAAGTGATGATAGATGTGATGAAGGCTTCATACACAAAGTCATTTATGTAAAGCTGGTTTGTAGTTTCTGTTTCAGACACAGGAGTTTAGAGTGTAGATGTGTACATTTACATGTTTTTTCCAATGCATTTTTGTCACTTTATAAAAGGAATGGTTGTTCCACTACCCTTTTTTAATGGGAATCATCCAAAACAAACAAGTTCAAATAATGGCCCTTTCTTTGCTGTTGATCTGGAGTGGTGCAAAAAATAATATTTTGCGGGACTCAGTTTGTGCTGTTACCCACTGACAGGGCAAAATCTTAAAAACAGAAGCTGTGCCTTTTTTACACTTTGGACTGCCTTACACTGCAGTCAGTGCGACTGTAGATTAGAACATTTACAAATCTAATTATATCCTCTCTGTAATTATTGCCTTCATCCCCCTCCACATGCCACTATAATTTTGTGTGCTCCTGTAAGTTTCCAGGAACCACTGGCATTTTTCCCCTTCCCTCCTACATATGCATGCCTGTCAGCAGAGCAGACTGCAGAGAGGGGAGCAGGTTCACAGAAAAGAAACCCAAAAAAAAAGAAAGAAAGGAAGAAAGAGTGGGCCTCTGTACTTCCAGAATAACACCAACGTTTGTATGTGTGGCTGCTAGGTTACTGCTCTGATCATTTCTGATGGTGTCTGCACACTGTCACTTTAGGTAGACACATCAGAGCTATTTTTTTTCCCTTTTTAATATGAGTTAAACACAAGATACTTGTACTCTAATGAAAGGTCAAGCGCTCAGTGAAGAGACCCCTCATCTTAAATTATGATCCTATGCTCAATTGATAAATTACATAACCTACCACATGACCCTTAGTTGCCACCTCAACCAAAATATTATAACCACCTTCATCAGACCCCAGGCTCTGTTTATGCAAGCTAGTGACAAAGCCAATACTACACTACCTTACCACATAGCCCCTATCAACCCACCCAGCCCAACTATTGCACAGGGCAGCAAGAGCCAGGACATGACTGTGGTTGTTGAGTGGGAATAAAAAAATAATTAGATGCCATTTACTACTGTAATATGGAAAAAAAAAAAAAATTCCACAAGTTTGAACATGAATTAATATCCAGTGTGAAGCCATTCCATGTATGTAATGTTAACTGTTTTCAAAGATATTTTCCTACCAGTGTGGTTGAAGTCACCTGTCAGTCACCTGACGCCTCCATGTACACACATGAAAGTCTCTGAAATAATCCTTTGAAGAATTCCAGTTCAAACTCACTTTGCCTTCCTGTCTTGTTATTCAGAGCATCTCAAGTAGATATGACACTAAAATGTTCAGTTTAAAAGCAATCAGAAGTTAAAGCATTTCAAAGAATATGCAATTGAAAAAAAATATCCATACCTTTGCATTTCATAGTTATGAAAGCAGTGTATCCTAGCAACAGATAGAGGTCAGTGGTTAGGGTGAATCACAGTGAAATTAAAGCTCGCTACAGTCTGACAGAACAACTGTATATTTTTTTTCCATCTGCCACACCATGACATACTGTATGTAGTGTGAATATTAATTTTTTTACTACCTTCCTCTTATTCAAGTCCCCCATTATGACTTTTTTCCATCAGAGATTTTGACTCATTAAATGAAGAAGACCATGCTGCAAACCTCCAGCTGGCCTTGGACGTTGGTGAGCGGGAATTTGGCATCAAATCGTTTACAGCTGGGAAGGAGCTGGGTGCCGATCAGGAGCTGGATAAGACCAGGATGATCATCTACCTGTCCAAGTACTACGAGCTGTTCCGTGGCACACCGTTACCTGCCTCAGGTACTCCACTTATGTGTTATTTCTAATGTTAGGGGTCTTTAGTAATGACCGTGCACCATGGAAATAATGAAATGTTAAATTCAGCCATGTGTTGCACTGCAGGTTCCAGAGGAGTGGATGAAAACAAAGAAGATTATCCATCAAGGGACGTCCGAAGTAATAATAATGTTCTCAATCATGCACTGCCTAGGAAACGGGTACCAAAGGTAACTGTAGACTAAAATATTTCATCTTATGCCCTTAATATCCAAATGAGTTGTTTCTAACATCCATTTTCTGTATGATTCCACTTCATGTGTTTTTTTTTATTTGTTTATTCTGTCATACTCATTCTCAAATTATTCTTAAGAGCTATATATTTAATAAGCATAAGATTTCCCGGCAGTTATTGTCTTGAAATGCTTCACTGTTCAATGTTTATTTATTTGACTTTTCAGGATGAAAAGAAGTCAGATGGCACAGATCCCATTTACAAAAGGAGGCGGAAATTTAGCAGTTATTTGGAGGAGGTGTGTAACTATTTGTAATGTATATCTCAACAACTTTAAAAAAAAGCCTGGTGATGGTAGGATCATCTGTTCTCTTTCTCTAATCAGGCCACCAATCTGTCTAGTAACGGGTCCCCAGTGCGAGAGAGCCTCGAGCCTAAGGAGAACAAAGTACGCTCAATGGCTTCTCAGTTGCTGGCAAAGTTTGAAGGCTCGCCCACAACGGTTCGGAAAACACAGGTAAAAAAAGACAACACACTCAGTACAGACCCACAGATTTTGATATAATATAAATATCCTTTTTTTTTCTCTTGTAGTAAGACTTTGGTTTTCAGTGTATTTCTTACCACAAATAATTGAGTCTACATGCATTACTGTATTGTTTGAAATGAATCCATTTATGTCTTTCTCTATGGACTTTGTTAAACTGATTATATTGTTAAAGCCATAAAGAGCTGTTTCCCTTTTTCTCATAAGCCTTAAGTATCTCTTAAGTTTCCCTTGTTGTGAGCTGGAGCCTTTGCTGGTTTAACCTTAAATCGTTCCTGTTGCTAATGCTACAAAGTCTTCTTTGTCTGTTAATCTGTCATTTCATTTTTCCGCCTTTTCTTTCTTCTTTTTAACGTTTTTTTCAAACCTTTCTGCAAAATCTCAGTCGGACTGCGAGAGGTCCTCGACACTGCAAACGCTTGACCTGACTGTGAGTCGGCACAATAAAGTCAGGCCCCCGGTCCCACCTAAACCTCCTCCTGAGATGCAGGTAGTCTGGAGCAGCCAGACAGCAGTTTAGACACAGACTGTACAAACAGTAACCAAAGGCTAGTGCAAATCTGTACAGCTTAACATACGTAGGTAGGCTCATTTTGTCTTGCTGTCCTACAACACATAATTGAAACACTCACACAGAAGCAAACATATACTATCTTACACCCTCTACTGTAATGTTAAGCTCAAGTGATGTTAATTACCCCCAGAAAAGGAGTTATTAGTCCTTTTTGGGATAAGTAAATGATCATACTGATTGTTTCACAGTCTCAGGCTGGGAGAGTCACTTGACCAGTTTCAGTGTTTTCCCATGTTTTTGTAAAGAGTGAACTAGGTTGAGACAAAAACCAGACTAAATACATTTGCAGTTGCTGAAATCATACCATTGTATTCATGCGTTAATCCTTTGAAACATCGAACCCTAAAGGCAAAAAAGCAAACGCAAGTGCCAAGAAAAGGATCATGTGAATTGTAAATGTAACTGTTGGCTGCTGACTCTTGTATCTCAGGTGTCAGACCCTTTAAGTCTTCACTGCCCTGAGAAGAATGTTTCAAAATCAGTTCCTGGTCATAAATACGAACCCTGCCATGAATGGTGGTGTACGTAACTTTGGCAAAACATTGAGGCCAAGTACGTAACGTAATGGATTACTCATCCAAGACTATTTTCATACAGTTCCGGCATGACTTAACATCTCAGAAACGATGCTTTGAAACAGCAGCAGCAGCATTGTGAAAATATGTGTGTAAAGGGCAGAAAAAACAAAACACCCGTACAGTTATTTTAAAATATCTACTACCTGCAATATAATGACAAATTGCAGTTTCACTGTCTGATTCCTTAATGAGCAGTCGTACAGCAGCTCACTTCTGTATATTATCCCTTACAGTTTGAAGTCAGTATCAGAAAAGCAGCACAACACTTAATCCACCTGCCTCCAAAGACCCTGCCCAAACCCCAGCTCCAGCTCCAGCATCAATTTTCTGTAGTGAAGCTCAGACATGTTGATCAAACACACGCTGAGACGAAGCCCCCGCCTGAGCCTGAGTGTGCAGACCCCCCTGAGTCTCGTCCCTCCTGCCAGTCGGCCATCAATTTCATGTCAAGAGTCTTGCAGCGACTCAGGGAGGTGGATGAGCACATCTCTGAGGTGATCTCTATCTCCAGCTTCAAATCTTGAACTTCTGATGTCTTCCCTGTCTACTGTCTTTTAAACCCCTGTCTTTTTGTTTGCATGCTCTGATCCCCAAAAAGAAAACAGAGTAAATGTTGATGATATGTTATGCCTTGATTATACATTTAGGCTCGAGTAATGTGTAGTCAGGCGAAGAAGTCAGCCTCTAAATTATCCATCCTGACAAAAATGGCAAAAGCAGGTCTGCAGACCTGGCACTGAATGAGACACAGGAGATCATTTACCAGTCTGAGACTGAGTCTGAGTCTTGTGGAGCAGGTACACCTCTTCTGATTTCAGACCTGTCAACAACCTGCATGCAATGGCTTAACGAGTGAAGAAGAGGGAAACTGAGCGTTTATAGTTGAGACAGTTAATGTGGTCGAGATAATACACTTTTAAATACATATTCAAGTATTTTCCATTATTCTGAAATACAGAGGATAGACGGTGCAAACTCTCACACTCTCACATTCTGTGTTGGCATCATCATAATCTGTGCAACATTTTCCCCTCGAAATTTAACATTAATATTTTTTTATATTACGCACCTGCATTTTAAAGACAGAAATATTGTCTGTCTTGGAGCTCAGTTAAATGTTTTATGTTGCTTTCAGTGCTCTCCAAGTGTTGACTGCCAGACTTTGTTTGTGCCTTTTATTAAATGATGATTAATGGCACTATTTGATGATGAAGGCTAACAGTGTTTGTAGTTATTATAAAAGTATCATCAGAGCATTTTGGCAAAACATCTGTTGCACCATCTGCCACATTTGTTTAATCCATATGCCTACATGCTGAAGCCGGTGTTTGTTAAATTGAGTGCAGTATTGTTCGTTTACTCTAGAATAGCAGAGTCAGTTACTTACAGTGGCTTTCTTCATTATTACTCTGTCCTCCCCTGTATTTGATTTGATTTTTAAACTAATCTAAATATAATATAATTATCCTTTTCATTGACATACTTTAAAAAATATTTTGACTCACTCTCGAGTTTAAATGACTGGATACAAACTTTGATTTATGTAGAGCTGACTGACTTCTCTGCCAGGTCTGGATGGCTGCCTCACTTTTTCTGTTCCACTGCTGTATGAGTAACCACATCAAGTGGGGTGTGAAATTATTGTAATAAAGAAACCTTCACTTCACACAGAGATGCAATTGTTCTCCTACAGACAATTACACTGAGCTGTCAAGTCCTTCTCAGTAGCTGTGTGGAACAGAAAGGTCTTTCATCTTAAAAGTCTATACCACTGATAAAATGGCTATTAGTCTACCCAGTCATGTTGTTTAGGGGAGAATGTGTGTCTTTGTCCTGAGGCGGTGAGCTGATTGCTTGTCTGGTATTCCTGTGCTCCGTGTCATCCTGCAGAAAAAAGCTCAGACACAACAATCTAGAGAGTTTCAAAGAAAGAGTATAAAGGAGAAAGCTGTTCACCTTAGTGAGATGTTCACAACAGACAGCCCAGCTGGACTCAAGGTGACTTTCTCCAGCTTGACCTGTGTGACTTGTGTTTTGCACCACCTGACCCTCACAGTGTGTTTGTTGGCAGTTTGGATTTCCTTTTGAAGCATGCAGCAAGTTTTCTTTCTTGATTATTATTTCATACCCATGTTTTTATTTTATCCCAATCTTAACTTAAGTTATAACTGCATTACCACCACAGTCATTTACTCACCATGCACCATAATTGCTGTATAGTACAAAGGGGACCAAGAAATCAAACGCAGTCTCCTGATTACATTCTGGATGATGACATGTATTTTTTCTCTTTCATGTAGAAATTGGGAACCTTTCTCATTATGTCATGTACACATTTGCATTTTTTTCTTGTTAAATTTGCACACGTTCGCTCAGTGTGAGGAAAAAAGTTTTGTTTCATGTAATATTTCTTACATTCCAGTGACTTCTTAAATGAATGAGAACATACTTTACTATTAGAAGCACAAGTTAGTATAACAATCATTATTCCAATTTAAACAGCGTCACAAACTATAACCTTTAAAATGACTTTATTGATGAAAGCGCATCTGTCGAAAATGCTTCTACAAAAACGGGAAACTACAAAGTTAATCAAGATACTGTTGTATAACTAAGACTGTCTTAGTTTTTTGTGCTCTGGAAAAAATAGCAAAAGACTTTTTATGTACAAACTAGAACTGTCTTTAAAAAGCTGTCATCTTAGCTCTAGCCTCACAGTGTCGTCATGTATCAACTTAATCATAATAGACAGATTTATGCAAAAGGCTGCCTCTGCTTCGCATGGGCGCTGCTTTGAACTGCTGTTTCTGCCCCTTGTGCTTTTAATCACCAGCAGTCGTCACAGAACAGAAGGGTGTGCTTTTGCGGTGGAACTCTGTGGGTTTCTCTGCTCCACCCATCCTAAACAGCTCAGACTCCACAGCCAGATGTTACAGCAAAACACTCACACTAGTTTTATACAAAGAAACAGCTCATGTTACACAATAAAACCATATCCATCTTTTTTTTCCGTACCAATGAATTACCGTACATTTGATTCCCCAAGAGCTATCAGAAAACTATTCAAACACGATCAGCTGCCTCACTGAACCATGTGTGTTTATATATAACCATTTCATTATCCAATCTCCATAATTATCTTACCCACTCTCCTTAACTTTGTTTTTTCTCTCAATTGAATGTTGGTGAGCAGTGGCTGAGGATTCTAAGGCTGTACAGACTTTAAAGAAGAGACCCTGGTCACCCTCTCTGAAATCAATCAAAGACACAGAACCTTGAATAGAAATGAAACTGAACATTAAGACATTCAGGAAGTGACATTGAAAACAAAATATGTGGACATTGATACCTTGCTGGAAAAAGTTCATTAACACATCGGTTTGCTCCTCATCTTCTCACATGGTCGCTCTCACTGCATGTGATATCCACCACTCTGTGTACTGGGCATGAGAAACCTCCAAAAGTGATATTAGTGAATATCCTGAAAGGTTTCTAGTAAAGCGATTTAAACTTTACTCTGTGTCATCAGACCTCTTAAGTATTTAACATCCTAAGTGGTTTAAGAAAATCATTGAATTGAAACTCTAACGTAAAAGTTTCAGCTTCAGCAATCAAGTTGTGTGGCCCTTTTTAATCCCTCTTCCTGAACTCTGTTTTCGCAGGGCGGCTCAGTGCGAAGGGCGTTCCCCCCGTCAGGTGACAGGTGTCACTCATGCGAGAAGAGGGTTTATATGGTGGAGAAGGTCTGTGCAGAGGGGCTCTACTTCCACAGGGAGTGTTTCGCTGTTCTACCTGCAGCTCTGCACTGAGACAGGGAGCACATGCCTTCGACTCTGAGCAGGGTTTGTATCATTTATTGCTGTTATTGTAGGAGGGTCAAAGTTCAGTGTTTACGTTGTCCTGACATTTGATTCAATCTTTCAGGGAAGTTGTACTGCCAACTTCACTTTGATCAACGCAACAACGGGACAAAGCTGCGAAGGAATTTATCGCAACGCTCTGTAAGAACTTCACATTTCTAACCATACCTTTCCTTTTGCTTATCTACAGTCAAATATCTAACATGTGTTTTCATCCTTAGATCCGTTATGAAGCTGGAGTTCCGGAGCGTTCTGATGCTGACAGACAGAGCACAGAATCCAGCAGCACACCAGACCTGCAGAGTGAATCTTCAGCAGGTACTTTCAGCTCGTTCATTAGGAAGCGTCTGAGCTGGCCCCTGAGTGTGACACGCACGGTGTGTGACGCCCCCTGGTATCTGTCCCGACGTGTGCGTAGTACAGCACAGGCCCTCACCACCCACCTGAGGGACAATGCCCAGGACTACACTTTTCTCTATGAGCTACTGAGCATGAGTTTGCCCCTGCTGCTTGTCTTACAGGAAGTACTGCTGCAGATGTACACAGAGGCTGTGCCCGATGGGCCAAGCTCTCTGCAGCCGGTACTGCTGTGGCTGCAGGAGCAGATAGGGCACAGGCTTATCTAGACACTCTGCAGACCCCAGCTGTTAATATCTGACCCTGAACAAGACTCCAAATGCCTTTTAAGTCAGTGGCCAAGGTGCACATCAGCAAGAATGTTCTTGCCTTATTATAATTTGTAGCTGTGCACATGCACCTTGTTATGTTTACCTGCATTTCCTGATGCAACTGTAGACAGATTTGCTTTAAGACACTGTACTACAGAGGGTTGGGAACATTTTAGAGAGAACGAAAGCTGCACCAAATAGTTTTGTAGTGGGTCTGATGTGGGTTAAAATAACTTAAAAGCTTTAACAAGTTAAAATGAAAAAAACAAACAAAAAAAAAAACAGGCCAAAGTCAGTGCATTAAAGGACTTGAGACTGCTGAAACGTCAAATAATCATTGCTGTAAATCTCAAGCTTCGAAGTGTCCTGCAAAACAAATCCTGCAGTTACTTTAGTTTAACTCAGGCTATGACTGACTGACTTAATGCACTTTATTCTTTGAAAGATGCCAGGTCATCGGAGCAGACAGCTACCCCATGTTTTCTTTGTTAAAGCTGACCACCAGGCAGGTTTATGTTTGACTGCATATGTGCTTCTGCCATATGTTTTTATTTTATGGATGCTTGTTTGTGTGTTTTACACAAAAGTTAGCATATTCGCTTTATTAACTCTGACCTCTCGGTTTACTTTCATTATCAGTTTTTATAGATTTTTTTTTTGACAGATAATACCAAAGAATCTGAGTTTTTAATGCTGTGTTCTGCAGTTTCTTTTTTAGTGTTTAGTTTGACTTTGCTGCCATCTACTGTTGACTCAGAATAACCATGAAGGCAACATGAGATATCCTAAACCTCCCCCTTGTAACTCTACAGGAAGCGTATGTTTGAATCGATTGAATGTTAAAATCAAATGAGCTGTAGACGACGGGAGCTGGTGAGCATATGATGTGTTTGAATGTGCCGACCGCTCTTGCCTTCATTTAAATGTTGTTTAAAGATCAACTGCAAACCTCTTTACTGAAGCCTCACAGTTTCTTCTCTATCAGACACACTATCTAATGATGCTTCAGAGACACTTTAGAGTATTTCTAAATCTAATATTTGAAAGTTGTATTTGTTAAAATAATTCAGGCATTATTTTAAGTGTTTTACGGCATGAAATGCTAGATGTGCAACATGTTTGTCTTTTGTTATCGTGTGGCTAATATCTGATGTTGAATTACTGAATCTGCGTGTCTGGTTTACAGTGCACAAAAGGGTCGGAGCTTCAGTGTATTTAATATACCAAAGAGCTGTTTTCTTACACACTGACTGGACTTGTGTAACATTTATTTTTCCATGTCTGTATAACAAGGCGACAGACTGTAACTCGGTGCCAACACAAATGTTCTCTTCATAATGAATGTCAGTATTTGTTTTGTTTCCATAAACAATTTTTTACCTTTGCTGTCGTGTTGAAGTCTGTCTCTTCCTCTCTTCTAGCTGAAGCCTTTTACGAGGTGTGTGAGCCAGGAGAAATGACATTTTGAAGGTATGACCTGCATGGTCATGTGCTCCGGTCATAACTGTGCTGTATGGCGTTAGATCAGTCTCAATATTCACAAATGCACACAGAAGGATTCACAAATGTATTTCAATGCACACACAAATATCTTTCATTCTATATAAATGTAAAACAAAGCCACAAATATAAAAATAAGATTCACAAATGTATTTCTGATTCACACACAAATATTTATAGTTTTGTATATATGTAATAGAAATCCACAAATATATAATATACATGTATATTTAAAAAACACATTGTTACATTTATATACACATTTTTCAGTCTGCATTTACAAACTGTTTGACATTTGTGAACCTCACTGCATTTGTGTGTGGGACTTTTGAGACTCCCCTGCTGTGGTTAGATTCACAAATGCATTTTTTTCAGCAGGGAAATGTCTGTAGCCAATCAGATGTCTCCTTCCTATTCAGCCAATCACAGTAGCGTAGATTCAAGGGTATGATTTAATGTGATCCCTTTAGCGTTGCATCTGCGCATACAGCGATTAGCCTAGCTATCAGACAATGTGATTAAGTCATCTTTAATCTGACCAGCACAAATAGTCTCTTTGATTGTCGTACTATATATGGAAAGTTTATCGTAATTGACTGCGTGTCGTTGGTTTAACTGGTGTTGAATAAACTGGTGATATTCCGGATTCCAAAATATTCAGATTTCTATTACATATACAAAACTATAAATATTTGTGTAAATCCGAAATACATTTGTGAGTCTTATTTTTTTATTTGTGGATTTGTTTTACATTTATATAGAATGAAATATATTTGTGAATCCTTCTTTGTGCATGTGTGAATATTGAGACTGATCTAACTCCATAGTGCTGTCATACTGATAATAAATAATGGACACAGAGCGTCTCACATGGCTGAACAACAGTGCTGAAGAGATGTTCCTTTGAAGTGAGAATTAACTCGACTCATTACTAATTAACAGCTTCAGTGTTTGTCACTGATCCTTGAACTCTTTTTGGAATGAACAAATACCAACTAAACCGACTTCAAAATCAATAACTGCTGCCTAACATTTCCTCATTTATTTTATATTTATCAGGTTTGAATAATAAAGTGGAATGAAAGAAGATATGGAAGATATTCTATAAACAGGAGACCAAGGTCTTAATCCATTTTCTTTTAAATTAAAACATTTCTTTGTAAGCAAAGACTTTTTTTAAATCATTATCAGCAAAACTATCACTGCTGACAAACTCATCTGTCATCGTGTTAGTACACGTTTGTGGGCTTAGGTTTGTATCATAAAACATTCCTCAGCAGATGGAGATGGATCTACGACCCTGATAGAGACTCAATTATATATTATAAAATGAGCTGACCAACTCTGCAGAAGATTCAATTGTAAGATTCAACACATCGACTTTTTCCAAGGTCAGCTGTTGGTCAATGTTCAAATCACCAATGTTTACTTGAATCATGCATTCCTGAGAGCTGAAATCAGTGAAGTATTCAGATCTTAGCGATTACTTACTGAAACGGGTAAAGAACATATTTTCCACGCTGATGAAGGCCTAGTGCCAAAATGCGTCCATTGCTGTTGTTGTTGCTGCCTTACCCGGATTAAAGAAACTAAAAGGTAATTTTTGCGTGCTGACTTTTTGTCTCTTTCTAGTCTGATTGCTGTCACGCACCTTTTACTGTGTTTAACTGCAGTAGCAGTTCCTGTAGGAGCCAAGTTACATTCATACAAGTTAAATTAAATAAATAAGCAGTGTAATTTTGGGTTGAAAGTTAATCTTTTATTTTAGGAATTTAATTCTATAAGTTAAGTTATACAATGTGTTAAAAGTCAGCTCAAAGTATTTGATTTAATACATTTTCTGTAAAGTTAAAAGCAGTATGGTATACAAATTAAGTATTGCAGTGAGGTAGGTTACTGTCACTTTAAGAGAGAGCGAGCTCTGTAGTGCTGTGGGAGGGTTAGACTGGTTTCAGGCAGTTGAGGATCGCTTGGTTACATTGTAACCTTGGTTCTCTGAGTGAAGAGGTTGTCCCTTCACCAAACATATTTCCAATATGGGAATTGATTCCATTCAGGACATCTGAAATGGACAAAATCTTTTAAGACACACCACTCCTGTGGCTGCATGTGAGAGTATAAAAGGCCCATGTACACATGCTCCGGTGATTTACATTGATTGACACCATATCCGAGCGGCGTCTTTGTGAAGGGACAACCTCTTCACTCAAAGAACCAAGGTTACAATGTAATCAAGTGTTCTCTATCATATCAAGGTTGTCCCTTCACCAAACATATTTCCAATATGGGACCCTTTAAACTCCACGAGGAAACTGATGAGTAGACAAGAGCAGAACTGCCCTCAAGACACCCACTGGTCCCCAGCTCTGATATGTGAATGAAACGTCACCGCCATCAGAGTGCTTCCACTCATAAGTGAAAGAATAAAAACCCCTGTCACTGCCTAATGTGTGGGGGCCAGACGTGCCCCACACATGTCCAACCCCACCAGATGCAAGTGATTGAACATGAAGGAAAATCGGTGACCTGCCTATGGGCAGCCCACCTGACCAGGGTACAAGCCATCTGAAGTGATAATGTCATTATGATATAGCTGTGCTCAGCACTTGTTCCCCAAAGGAAGTGCCAGAGGCCACATCGAAGCTATAGAACCTGGTGAACAGAGTTAGGCGTGACCACGTTGCCGACGCAAAGACCGCAGTGAGAGTAGTGACCCGCCAGAAGGCCCAAGAGGTTTCTAATGGCCTGTGTGGAGTGCGCTCTTACTCTCCCCCCCTGGTGCCTCAGCACCCTCGATCGCCTGCTGTATCGTTTCCACAATCCAGGGGGCCAGTCATGACTTGGACACCGGCTCGCCCAGGCACTGGGGTTTAAAACGGAGAAACAGCTGATCTGGTTTCCTATGCGCCACTGTTCGCTGCAGGTAAAAACTAAGGGCTCTGACTAGGCACAGCCCAAGACATCTCTACCCTCCCTCCCCGTCATCCTGACGGAAAGGTCTGAGCTCCACTGCCTGGCTTTCTTAAGGAAATTACATGGCAAACATCGAAACAAGGTTGTTTACAGTGAAATGCCACACTGCGCTGTACCTTATCACTAGGTCCCAACGGGACTTGAACTCAGAGATTCAAAGTCCAGAGTGCTAACCACTTCACCATGGAACCAGTCTCTTCTTTTCCAGGTGAAGTCTGATATAGAAAGTCTTCGGCAGAAAGGCATGAAACAACAGCAGCTTGAATGTGCGGACAGAGCCTGAAGCTTACCCACTCTCCTGGCTGATGTTATCGCTATGAGGAATGCAACCCAGAGAGATAGCCACCTGAGACTCACTGACTCTAGGGGCTCAAATGGCTCTTTTTGCAATGCAACCAGCACACAACAGGCCCAACTAATCAGAGCCCCACAGAATGGAAGAGAATCCTGCTTGTCTGGGCAGAAGGACTCCTCAAAGCCAGAGTTCCCAGGCAATCCGTTCATCAGAGGGGATTGCTGAGAACCAAGAGATGGGGAACTAATTTCCCCATTATTTGGGAGGGGCCTCCAAAATCGGAGAAGCAGCTGACCATGGCAGATTCTCTGGATGAGATCAGATCTATGTCCCCCTTGCCCAAGGTACACCAGTGACCTTCAGCCTTCTAAAGGTGAAGTTTCCAGCCCTCAGGGAAAGGGCTCCCTGGCAACCTGATGACCACTGCTGAGTGTAGAAGGCCCAGTGCATGTACTGTACGTCTCAGCTGATATAAGCAGACAACTGTACTGGCAGTCCTGCCATTAACATACTGACCATTGAGACATTGGCGGAGCTGTTGGCAGTGAGAACAAGCCCCTGCCACAAGCCTCTTATGTGCCAAGTCAGGTCGACAAGGTCCCATTGATCCAATAGCCGATCAATAGCCCTTGTGGATAGCGACCCAGCCCTTTTAGTTATGGGTCTGTGAACACCTGCTGGTGATAGACCACTAGACTACTTGTCACTACTTCCAAGAGCATGCCCCACTCAGATGTTGGCTGCGTCTCGCCCCCATCAAAGGGCTTTGTGCAGCACCTCAGAACCAGCACCATGGTCTTGGGGGGGTGCAATATCCAGAGACCTTGTTGACCTGCCCTTCACACCACAGGTTAGTTCACACCCAGGGGTACAAGCCAGTATTCTTCAGCCCACAGGAAAATTCATGGTTCCCTGTAAGGGGAGGACTTCCAGTTTCAATATCAACATCCTCCTCAGCCTTCACTCCAAACGCCAGAGTTTGGGAAGAAAGGGCCTGGGGAAGAGGTATGTTTGCAAGTCTGTAGTCTGTATCCAACATGGATTCCACATGCTGACGATCATTCACAGCTTTGCCCTGAAGACTGGCAACGCTGTTGCTGTAGGTCTGCAAAATGACTGTACTGTAGGCAGCAGCCATGAGCCATGGATACGAACACCATCGGGTCTCTCCAAAGGCTAAACAAGCATCCCTGTAGCAGACCTGCCAGGGATGCTGCCGGGGCCCTCGAATGGGCTGTGGGGAGCCACCTTGAGCCCAGTAGGCAGCCTTAGAGGCCTCCGGTAGGGGGGCCAAGTCTCCCTGCCAAGCTTGGACATGGACGTGGTATGTCCTTGTCCTTGTCTGCGTCCATTTTCTGCATGTATTGAACACTTATGTTGTTGGTGATTTCAATTGGAGAGAGATGGATGTTTGCCATAGCCGACATCGCCTGCGCCTGACTCACTGGCGCAACCATGCACAACTAGTGTATTGTCAGACCAAGTGCGTTAGCTCGCGAACCGCGAGCAATACACCGGCTGGACTTATAACACTGTTTTGACACCACTGCATGCCGACATAGTCTAGGCACAGCTTCTACACAGAGCCCCGCCCCTGCCTACTACGTTTGCCATTG